AAAAAAAGAGACACCCACTTCTGATTACTGATAGGACTTCAGCTGGTTTGCCAGGTGTGACTGAAAGCAAAATGCGCTTTTGTGCACGGCCCTGATGTACAAGAAAAGACAAGTTACCGAGTCTTTAATTTTCACATAATGACGGCTGCTCGGATCCCTGCAGGCACAGAAAAGCTCGTGGTGTGCTTCAGTAGCCAAAGGAGTGTAAATCCTAATGCTGCTGCAGTAAAGGAGAAGAAGAAGAAGCAAAGCTGATGAGAGCAGAGTCAAAACACTGATACCCTGACCGGCTGCAGTGTGGTTGATTTAAAGAGATGCATACAGGAGCTGGTGTAACCTATGGAGGTGAAATGAGGCTGACTCAAATATTAAATTGAGCATTTGGCAGGATGTTTATATTTTAAATCTGCAAAAATGTGCATAAACTCTCACCTGCTTTCAAAATATTAAAAGTTCAAAACCAAAAAAGCAAACTCACTTCCCTTGTTCATGTGGAAAAGAACACAACAACAAACACAACAGATGGTGATAGACTAAGTTTAAAGCAGCAGCCAAGGTTGAATCAATGTTCTGTTTCTGTGATTCACAATTCATGGGACAAACCTGATGACAAAAAGCTGCATTTAAAGAGTCACCTTGAAGACATCAACTGTGCCGTGTTCATACAGCAAACACACGAGCATGAAATGTCACAGTACAGCATCCTGAGGAAGTAGAAAGGAGGCAATCGGTTGCTTTACCGACTCTGAAAACATGCAGATCCGGACTGTTCTGACAGATCTGAACCAGCCTGACAAACACAAACCTTCTTATAAACACTGGGGATATTGAACAGCACCGACACCATCAATAAACGGCTCTGCTTACTCATAAGATCGTAATGTTCAACAGCAAACAACTGCAGTTTGTTAACATGCAGGCTCCCCCCCTTTGTTTCCCCCCAAACAGCTCTGAGGTTGTTAAAATCATCTTATTCCTCATCAACTGGAGGTTTGTTTCAAGTCTTCATTAAATCTAGATTATGTTTATACTGGGAAGAATCCTCAAACACAAGCTGCCATATTTTCAGTCTTTGACAACTGATGTATATTCCTGAAGTTGAGCCTCATTTTCTCCACACATCTGTCGTTACTGGATACTAACCCAATTTAATTAGTTTTTATTGAACATGCAACAAAATGGAAGTCTTCTAGATATCTTGTGCATCATTTAAGACAGGGATCTCCAATCCTGGTCCTCGAGAGCCACAGTCCTGCATGCCTTAGGATCATTATTAGGCTTCTGCAGAGCTTGATGATGAGCTGATCATTTGAATCAGGTGTGTTGGAAGAAGGAAACATCTAAAACATGCAGGACTGTGGCTCTAGAGGACCAGGATTGGACACCCCCGATTTAAGAGAAACTGTATCCCACATTCAGGCTGACGTATCTGGTACCTCTAGAAAGTTTGTGATCTGAAAAGGAATCTGAAACTACATTTCCTTACTTTCATTTTGTGGATTTGGACAAGTATTGGACACAGAGAGGGGATAATAGCATCTTTAAGCAATACTCTACTAATGTGTCTCCTATCATAGACGATGGTGTGGTACGTATAGTACAGTTGTGGCCACTTGTAAAGACCATGTATGTCATGGTATTGAGTGTTTTTAAATGAAAGTCCATCCTCTAGAAGCAGCACCTGAAGGCTAAAGGCTTGCTGGTGATCACATGACAAGGCAAAGGTCTTCTGAAGGACAGTTCTGTGGTCAAATACAACATAAGGTGAGCTGTTTGGCCACAAAGACCAGAAATGTGTTCAGAGGAGAGAAGGTGAGGCCTTTATCTCCAGTAACACCAAATCTACCATCAAGCATGGTGGTGGCAGTATTATGGCATGGGGCTGTTTTGCTGCCAGTGGTAAACAAAGTAAATGGAATAATGAAGAAGGAGAACCTGTACTGTGCTGAAGAAACAAGTCTGTGTCAGAAAGCCAACAAAATATTTCAACTGGTCAAAGATAAAACCAGAAGTTTGTGGACGGGTACAAAAAGTGTCTAGTTGAGGTGAGAATGGCCTAAGGACCTTTAACCAAATATCATAATTGCTGTATGTATATTTTGGACCCAGCAGACTTAGTCATATTTCCAGAACACCTATAATAAATAGGTTTGATCAATGTGTTTCTTTTATTCCATCATAGAAATTTGAGATTTATTGGAGTCATTGGAAACTCAAGACTCCCATGATGCCCTTGATCACTGTAAATGTATGTAAACTTTTGCTCACAACTGTATGTCTTCATGCCTACAAACTACATTATACAGTTGCTGCAATATCTATATGTCTTATTCAGCCTACACACATTGATATGGCTATTTAATACAATATACTGAACTGAACAGAGATGTCAGAACTGAATATAGAGTTGAGTGGTTCGGGTGCCAACAGAGGTGCAAATACCCTGAGAAGCAAGTCCCTGGTTTGTTTTTAGGCTGACCAGACCATTAAATGCACGGCACTCCCCATGACTCATCTCTCTAATAAAAGGTACAAACACCCCCCAAATAACCTTTAAAATAGAATGGAATATATATATATAGAAGTGAATAGTGAACAGAACAGAGATGTGAGAACAGGGGACAGCCTGCTACAGAACCCCACAATACAGCAAAAGCAAACTGCTGTTACAAGTCATTGCATGTTCTGATACAAGTGAATACAACAAAATCCACTTTAATGCAACATAAAAGGAGACTTCAGTCCATATTACTAATCCAAGAGGTATGTCGCTCCATGTGAGAGACGGGAACATATTAGAGCAGAACAGAACAAAACAGAATAGAAGAGAACATCACAGGGCTTGTGTGTCCGTGTGTGTGGGACCAGAATATTCCCTCTGTGTTTGTGTGTACTTGTATAACTCGTGTTGTGAGGTCCTACATCTGTGTAGTCGGTCACACAGTGAGGGCTTGTCTCCCTTGGTGCACACAAAATGCAACTCCCCATAAAGTAAACCATGACAAGTTGGAAAGAAGACTCAGTTTAACAAACTGGAACCCACCAGCAGGTCTGAGAGGTATATTATCCTTTAAAAAAAACAAAAAAAAACACCAAAATTACACTATTTATCAGTGCCAGAAATTGTGGAAACAGAAAAAATCATCAGATTTTTAACTTTTAAACAGTCCCTGAACACATCATGTGTGACCTACAGTTCCATCAGGTAAATTAACCAAATTGAAGTAATTTTATACTTTATGTCTCATTTAAAATTCACCAAAAATCGAACCGATTGTTCTAACCAGATTCTGCGAAAAACAAAAAAATCTGCATTTCTTGGCACAACCATAAAGCCATGAGTGACTCAGCTGTGACTAACAGGCACATGGCAAAAATTACGAGAGTTTTGAGCTGGGATTGACCAATTTTCAATTTGGACCATTATGAGACCCAGTAACAATCCAGTGTCGTTCTTCTTTTTTACAGATTTCAGATGCAAAAAGTTAATTTAAAAATAGTTTGGCTTAGATGCAACTATTTCTGTGTCTGCAGTCACGAATAACAGCCAATTTACACTAAATGTCAAAAAGTTTGTACTTTTAAGGAAATCTGTGAAACATTAGTCTTTCAATTAGGTTTTGTGTAGGCGTTTGTTTTTTTTTAATTTTTGCCCCCAGGTTTTTCTTTTTTACTGCAAATGTGTGTCAGTTCCAAATATTATACATAAATAGTATTCAGTCACCTTCAGTACTAATAATTGGTTTTGATATCCACCCTCAAAAAATCCTATCAGTCAACAACTAGTTTCCACAGAGCACACAGGAGACAACAGAAGAGATAAAGAGGAAAAATAATGATCAATAAAATAAATGCAGCATGGTTTAAAAAAAATGTACAGAGGAGCAAGTCATCAATCCATAACTCCCACTGAAAACTCTGAATTTCTGACACGTGACTGTTAGTCACAGCTTAGTCGGTCATGACTTCACAGTTGTGCCGAAGATGCAGAATTTTACAGAATCTGGTTTGCAAATGGTTTTATTTGGGACATTTTTTTCCCCTTAACCAACATCTAGAATAAAGTGAGTGATTACTACAATTTTAAGCTTAGATTTGGTTGATTTCCTTGATTGAACTTCACACATGAGATGTTTAAGGACTGCGGGAAAGTAGAAAATCCAGTGATTCTTTCTGTTTTTACTCTTTTTTTTCTGACAGACACATTTGTTGGAAGACACACTCTGCATGGTGAAGTTCAGATTAACTTAAAGTTTGTAGATGTAGCACATGGAGCTCAAACTTTTTGATGACACCCGTAATTACACTCAGTAAAATGAAATGTAACGTGGATTCCAGCTTTTTTTTCCCCCAATCTTTGTAAAATAATCCAAGAAATGTGCATTTTATTTGTATTTTTTTATGTTGTAAGTCATTATAATTGTGTCACGCTGCACCGAAGATATCTTTGAGTTCTCTTTTCCACCCCCATGGATGTGCAGGACTTTGCAAAAAGAAAAAACAAGAGGCCACATTGAGGGTTAAGGTTAGATTTGGGCTTACGCGAGCTGAAGCTATGATTAAAGCTAGAAATAAATCAATGCACTGTCCTGTGGAGGGATGGAAACATGGCTGTGTGAGTGTCCTGATCTGTCTCACATGGTGGAACAACTGACAGCAGTGGCCACAGGTGACAGCCAGTCAGACAGACAGCAGGGGGATTATTTGGTGTGCAGCACTTGTGTCCACAGCCATCACTCATTCAGCTCACGTCATGTAGTCAGCCAGCCTCATAGTATTCACACTGAGGTCTGTGTGGAGGATAAATCATGTCCAAAGTACCACCAGAGTCTGTCTCATACTCCAGATCTGCCCAAATAAATCACAAAGTTGCGGCTGCACGTGTACAAGCATGAGTTTCTGTGTTATTGCAAACTTATATCCATGTAAATACGCATCCGTCATGTCTGTTAGTAGCTCAAGCAGCACCGTAACGCAGGAAAGTGTAAAAGCGTCCTTACCTGTAAAGTGTCTGCACAAAACGTGACTAGATATCCAGCTCCAGCCCGGTGGTGATGTGGTGCTTCTTTGCTTGTTGGCGGAGTTCAGACTTTTTTTTTTTTTTTTTTCTCCTCCTCGCGACACAACTTTAGTGAAGCAGCTTCTCGCGCCGGAGCTCCGGAGCAGAGCGCGCGGACATTATTGATATTATTATTATTATTACTATTATTATTTCCAAGAAGAAGCGCGTTATCGTGGCGTGAAGGTCAACAAATTCATGTTGGCCAGCAGAAAGCGAGGTCTCGGTCCGGTCAGCTGTCATCACATTAGCCGAGCAGCTCTTCTCTCCATGCCTACACACAACAACGCCACCCACTTTCTCCCCAGCAGACCCGCGGCTGGCCCGGCTGCTGCCTGACGGAAAAGACGGCGAAGTGGCTCCAAAAGTTCACTAATTGCACTCTAACTTCATTAATAAAATAAGAAACTCTGATGTTTTTTTAAAATAAATAGTCACAAGTGTGTGTGTGCGTCACCGGTCCAATATTCAGTGGTGCAAAGTAACTAAGTATATTTACTTTTGTGTACTTTAATAGTAAGTCTCCTCTAATGTCACTGATATGTTGCAGATTAAACTGCACAACTGAAATATAATAATAAAGTCTGCATGAATACATTTTCTCCTCTTTTTTTAATCTGTCTATCTGTACTAAATTTTGTGACAACCCTCCCATAGTTTTTATCGATTTAATGGTACAATTGCAATACATGATGAGTCTTACAAAAAAAAAAAACAGCAGGTTTAATCCCCACAGCATATGTACCTAATTTAATGTAATCTGTACAATATTTGTTGAGCTATCTTTATCTATCTGTGTTAAATTTTTGTGATAACCCTCCCTAATCCCTAATACAAGAATTAGTCACAGTTGTGGACATTTGTGCCAAATTTAATTGCAGTCCATACATTTTTTGTCTGTCTATTTCAATGAATAAATACTAGTGATGCACGATATAAAATTTCCTGGCCGATACCGATTTCCGACATTAAGATTTCCGATAACCAATATTACTGATGTCGATATTCAATTTTTGTTCACACTGAAACATGAGTATAAGTAAGCACTGTGACAGTGTTTAAACTATTCAAACGTAGCCCATACCAAATTAGACCACATAGTCTTCTTTATTATGTAACAAAAGTAAAACATATTTGAACATATTTAACATTAAAAGACCATTTAAGTAAAAACATCTGTGAAATAGCAGCAATATCAAATGTAGAGACGAAGGCGCTATTGTTAGACCTTTTTTTACATTGGCATTTTTGTTGATCGGACCGATACCGATATATCAGAAAAAACGGTAATATCGGTCGATACTGATGTGGTCGCCGATATATCGTGCATTCCTAATAAATACATATATTATTTTTAATGAATATCAAACAATCATTAAACCATTTTTACAATATTCTGATCAGCACCAAATAAGCATCATGCCAGCCTAATGATTGTGCTTGTTAATTGTCTTAACTAAGTGGTAGTTCATTGTATGGAATAAATGTAGTTCACAACCCCAGATTTACTTTGAAAACCACCATAAAATACAAGAAATTAGGATTTGGAGTCGAACATGTAAAGTTACCCAACTTTCTTTCAATCAAGATGTCGAGTAAACCAAAGAAAAACTTGATTTGATTCTACTATGATCAGATTTTTAATCTATAGCAGATTACTTTTCCATTGATTGACCCCATTGTTTCAGCTCTGCTTTTGAACCTTTTACTGATCATTCTTCTGTCATGTTACTTTACTGAGACTTAAGATGGAGGAGTTTTGTTCACAATATACTGTTTTTACATTTTGTCAGTATTATATTTTGATAAAGGAAATGATCTGACTTCTTCTTTCATTCAAATGCTGGACATTTAAGATGTATTAACATTCATTACATTTTGTTCGGCTTCTAGGATGACCAGGCTCAACAACTTTTTAAAACATTAAGTACAGTAAAGCTAAATTTCAAAGTCAGTCTCAGTTGTTATGTCATCTGCTGCTTGTGAAATCCACGTGAGGATGGAACAAACATGCCTTTTGTGGCAGAGGATGAACCAATATCAACACGAACATTTCCTCAATTCATTACTTCATTCCTGTGCGGGTCAGCACTTGTTGGGGTTGTCCACTCCACCCAGACCAAAAGAAGAGAAAAAAATGTGAACAGCAGTTTCAGGAAGTAACATGAAGTTTGGAGCTTGGGATTTTTCTGTCATTGTTTATCTAGTTTAATGTTTTACGGATTCAAATCGTGTGCTGCGGCAAAGGTGCTGCTGTTTAATTTCAGGTGTTTATTAGGTTATAATTTATAATAAATTTGATGCAGATAGAAGTCTCAGCATGTCAGGAGGGAAAGTAGAAGAGCTGATGTGATGTGGAGAAGCGTCCCTGTAATCAAGTTTTTTGTTACTCGGCAGGAAGGTGTATCCTGTGTTCTCTTTCGTGGCGATCTTCTCAAACTGCTGCCCTTTCATTGGGACTCATCAAGACAATAAAATCTTTTTTTGGAGAGAGAAAATCACAGTGATTGCATAAGGGATTACACGTTCGGTAGCCCTTCTCTCAGCCATGATGTGTTGTGGTGTGAGTCCAGTTTTTTTGCTGTGTCTGCAGTAATGACAGCTTCCTCATATGCGACTGTGTGTGTGCAGAACAATGGGAGGAAACGCGGTCGGTTCGATGCTTTTGCCTTCAAGAGTGGGCACGGAAAAGGAAAAGATACAGGAGAGGTCACACTCACATGCACGGACATACCTATTCAGTGGCGTAGTGGTTTCTGGAGAGATGGGTATTTTCTTAATCTGTGCCCCCATTTTCTAACCATCAAGCAAAATATGTGTCAAACAGTGACATGTAGGACTTGTCTTGCATCTTTACTTCATGCAGATGTGGCTCAGTAGTATCTGCACATATGCTGACATATTTGAGTAAAGATCATTTTGAACTTAACTTAATCTGAGAGAAAATGCAGATTTTAGCACACAGCTGACTAATGTGCATCAGAAGGGATCTAGAAATACATACAGGTAGCGTTAACTGATCTGCCGTACACCTCTGTATACTTGCAACACAGACTCAAATGCAACACAGAATTCCTGTAACAGAAGAATGTTCACCAATCAGAGTCTTAATATGGGCAATGTTTGCTTTATCACCACTTAAATGTGAAAAATGTGAAATCTAAACATCTCATGTGAGTGGAAAACTTCATTCTTGGTGGCGGAAAGTCATCTTGTCCACCTTCAACTTCCCTCTAAGCTCATGTTTTGCACCAGTGAAGCTCCAAATGCCAGAGTGTACTCAATCAATCAATCAATCAATCAACCAAATCTAAATCAATGATGGGTTAACTGAATCAAAAACAGTTAAAGCTGTGCAACATGCATTTGTAATATGTCACTTACAGTACGTCACAAACATGAGTAGGCCATCTTTATGTGGAGCTACAATTCTTTTTTTTTCAGATCCTCAGAGAGTCCATTGCCACGTTAAACTTCCAGTGACCAGTATGAGAGAGCTGCTCCTGCACCTGCTCCCCATTCACACCTGAGACCTTGTAACACTAACGAGTCACATGACAACGGGGAGGGAAAATAGCTAATTGGGCCCCATCTGGTCATTTTCACTTAGGGGTGTTTCACTTCTGTTGCTCGCTGTTTAGGCATTAATGGCTGTGTATTGAGATATTTTGAGGGGACAATACATTTACAAGCTGTACACTGACTACTTTACAACATAGCAAAGTGTCGTATCTTCAGTGTGGAAAGATATTATAAAATATTTGCAGAAATGTGTGTTTTGTGGCAAACTGTACATCAATAAGTGCTGATATAAATGTTCATGTTATATTCACTTTTTAATAGGTTGAACACAGAAACACGTTGTTGCATGTATGGAGAATACATCCATCATCTATACACCGTTTAATCCTCACTAGGGTTATGGGGGGCTGGAGTCTATCCCAGCTGACTCAGGGTGAAGGCAGGTTCACCTGGACAGGTCACCAGTCTATCACAGGGCTACACTTAGAGACAGACAACCAAGCACACTCACATTCACACCTACGGACAATTTAGAATCACCAATTAACCTCGACATGTTTTTGGACTTTGTGGGAGGAAGCCGGAGAACCCGAAGAGAACCCACGCTGCATGGGGAGAACCTGAGAACTCTATGCAGAAAGATCCCGGGTGTCCTCACTTGCTGCGAGGCAACGATACTAACCACCGATCCACCTTGCAGCCCTGTATGGAGAATCACTGCAGTAAATGTAGTATGATGTACGTGAGGCATCTAACCAATGTCAAAGTGCTACAACTGTCCCTGGTCAGGCTTCTTAATTCACCTTAAACAGAATAAAACAATTGAAATATATCTCTATGTGTGTGTATTCATGTGAGAGTCCGTCAGGAACAGTTACTGTCATGTTTTCCATTAATAAGAAAAGTATACTGTGAGTATATTTTCAGCTTTGAGAATTGTCTCACTGTTGGATAACTTCTTCTTCCTTCACCTCTGATTCAGTGACCGTGGGTGCATCCGTGTAGGAGATGCCTGGAACCGTCAGACCTCCGGTGGGCTTCATTGACGCCACATTTCGCCAAGTGTACACAAGTGCACACACCAACACACACTCACGCTCATGCATACTACAGCTGGGAACACTCCAGATCAGTGACTCCCGTATGAAACGCCGGCTTTGTCTGCCGCCACAGTGGCCGCTCTCATCCGAGGGCAGTATGTGGGTCTATTGTTGTCTTTCAATATTTTGCTGCCAGTTTGAGCGTCACTATAATGCAGAGGACACATTGGCTGCCGTACAATCATCCTGTTGTGTTTCCTCTGAGAAACATCAGCTGTGACGAAGTAGGCAAAAAATGACAGTGAACAAGTTATTGTAGTTACTGGACTGATAGCTGGGCAGATGTCAGGAAACTCCATGAATTAAAGATTTTTGTGACTCAGTTTTATGATGACAATCGCTTTAATGTTGTGTGAAGTCATTTTTTGACTTTTGGATCATTGCTTCGGGTGCTTCATTTTTGCTGGATATTAACCGACAATCAACACATTCATAGCAGCAAATTGTGAATATTTTGTACATTTAAAAACCCTGAGTACATTTAAAAACCCTAACATCAGTTCTTATATATAGAATATGTGTTGTATTGTTATTTCCTTCTTACAGACAAATATGTTCAATATTAACACTTCTCTCTCAGATTTTCTACTCATGAAAGAATCTGTGCAGCACTATGATTTCCATCCAGAGGAATGTGAACAATCTGAACTTCTACT